CACACACACACACACACACACACACACACACACACACACACACAGTTAATTATTATACTGAATAATGAGAAGAAAACGACTCATTAAATCTCTCCTTGACCCACACGCAGAAACTCGACTCTCTTCCTCTCTCATTGACTTCTCTGTTCCTCACACAGGCTTGTCAAACTAGAGGCCTTTTCACTTGTGAAATATTAATTGGTCTTTAAAAAAAACCTCCAAAATTTGTGCTGACCCCAATCCGGAGTAATCTAAATGACGACAGAAAGCCTAAAACACGAGGCCTTCTTAATTTTTAATTGAGAATGAACTTTATTTTTGACCTTCGTCTGACATCTGCTCCATCTTCACCCGCTTCAGTGTTCTCTGGTGGCTTTTCCTCCTGACCAAAGCAGAAAACTGACCATGAAAAAAAAACTTTGCTTTTCTTTTTTCATGTGACTGGTGCCACGAGACCGGCGGCCACCTGACTGCACCAAACGACTGTCACAGAAAACAAATTATACCGAACTCATCCACACGAACAGATCTATGGGATAAAGCACACTTGTAAACACTGGCAGAATCACATTAGTGACCCATGCTTTCACGTAGAGGCATGCACTTTCTGGGGGAGAAATCTTAGGTGCACAAACACCCACTCTGATCAATATCACTCTCTATCCGGGAGTAATCAATTTTCATTGCAGTTGGGTCAATACCCCTGTCCACGCTGTATTCTGATCATCAATAGCAAAATCGATAAAAATCACTCGTTAATCCTGAATTAACATCGATCCAGGACGCCCTGCTTTTGCAGTTCCACGGCGGCGGAGTTACCTGGCAGTAAATCGTCACGGCGGCCCCTGTGCAGCTGAGGAAATGTCACAAACCGAGGAGCTCCGGGAAAATAACGGACATGACTCTTCTATCGAAAAGCAACACATTTCGTCTCCGGCGGGTGGCGTTATGTTCCCAGATAGTGTCATCTGATTGCTCTAAGTGGTGTCCTCATCCTGTTGCTGTATCGTTTTTACTACCGCTTCCTGTCGCTGAACTTTTTAAAGACGGGACTTTCACGTGACTTTGTCACGGGTCAGATTCATGATTCCCACTAGTTTATTTCTGTCTTGCAAATTTAAAGACATTTTCCAATTTACTAAATAGGTTTGTGTCCTTCTAGTGGCCCCAGACGATGGAACCATTCCCAGCCATGAATCTGGGAACAACAAAACGAAGATACATGACCTGTAACTCGTGCGCTGTGGTTTGACGTTGCTGGCACGTAGAAAAGTGGATGAATAATTGAAACCACATGGGCACAAAAGAAAAAAAACACACAAACTTCATGCTGGAGGCCAAGGAAACTAAACACATTAGAGAACGAGAGCTGCACTGAGCCACCTGCGTTGTTCTGGTCCTCACCCAGAACTTCTGCTGCTTTCTATTTTAAACAAAGTTAAATTTGTAGTTTTTTCTTTTGGGATTAAAGGTCAAAAACACTGATTAATGGCTCTGTCATTTAATCTGTCTAACACCAAGGATTACAGTTATAATCCCTCTGATATAATAAATCAGTGCAACATCTAAGGGATTTGAAAAGATTCTGTTCCAAATAAACAAAGACGGATCCGAGAAGAAAAAAAAAAGCACGTAAAGCGAGCTGATGTTGAAGCTGCAGCAGAGCTGGAGATGGTAGGAAAAGAAAATAAAAACGAACCAAAAAAACGGACCCAAAGCTTCCCTCCCTCCTGCTCTCAGGGAGGTAACGTGAAGGTAACAGAAACCATTCACCGTGGACGCGCTTATCCAGACAGACTAGATTTGTGTGTGTTTGTTAGAGGGGGAGTTTGAGGCGTGTAGATTGAATCCTGTATCCCCGGGGAGCCTAACTACCTCTCCATCTCTCCAACTGGCCCTCTGCAGAGGGAGATTGGTAAAGAATTAGGAAGAAGGAAGGAAAACCAGCCAGAGCAATGCCACCGAGGCTGCAGCACAGCTCAACAGCTCCCTCTATCGGCAGCTGGAAAAGCACCACATTCACTCCCTCCACTTCGTCCATTATTTCATTCACTTCTTTCTTCCAGCTCCTTGTGGGTTTTACAAGTGTCTGGCTCGTGAAAAGGAGCAGTAGCAGCTGCCTACAAAACACCCAAATTCCATCTTAAATGGGTTATACTATCAGTGTTTGAATCAATATAGTCCATTCCTCCACACAAGGTTGTTTTTTCTTTGTTTTGGTAAAAAAAAAATAAAAAGCCTGTCCTAATTGTTTCCGAAATGTGAAAATATGTCCCTGATTTATTTCAATTACGCCACGCTGAGTCTGGATATAAAAATCTAAACCTGAGAAATGTTACAAGTGGATAGAGGAAAGGTTTAGGGAGGGTTTCTGCTGAAATCAATGTCAATCAAAGCGACACAGAGGCTTAAAATTTACACAGAGCATAAAAGAATCAGTGGTGTGTTCATACACTCTAAAAACTGCTGGGTTCCTTCAGTATAACTCAAATGATGGGTTAATTTGACGGGTTTAAAGAAACATTTGTTGTTTGGGTCATTCAACAAACATGATGTTTAGCTTCATTAACATGAATTATGGCATTTTGCACAGACATATTTAGCCAAATATTACTGGTGTAATTACATTTTTAATGTTTTCCACCTTTTGGTAGCTTTAAGGTCAAAACTAGTCAAGTTAAACACATTTTTGATGAGAAGTCTTAATCCAACAACCAAATCCTGCTAGCAACCCATCTGCCTTGTCCATATCTGACCCAGTGCTGGTTACCTACATGACCCAGATCGGGTTGTTTTCTATCCAGTGATGCACCAGGATACGGGCCGGTGATCAGAATCAGCCATAAACTGCTCATTAATCTGTTTTTTATTCCCTGGTCTGTGAACACACAGTAGACAAGGAGCGATAACGAATCTGACGGTTTCACGAGTCTGCTAAATGAGTCGTTGACACAAAATGACAAATTCTATTTTGAGGTTTCACTTCCAGAATCATAATTTTCAAGTTACTCAAGATTTAAAACGTCTTTGAGATTTACTGGCGTCCGCAGGTCAGATAGGACATCAGAAGTCTAAAACAGAATCTGGAGTTTTAACCCAAACCGTAAAGAATCATGATTCAGAGTCTGACTCCGATTTCTCGGCCATACAGAACACAACATGTTATATTAACAGTGTTTCCTGAAACAGCTCGTACAAAATGCAACAAATCTGGCAACATTTGTGTGCAGCTCCTCGCCTGAACATCATCTGATATCCCACTTTGATCTGTCACCCAACCCAGGTTTCAGCTAAACCCAAAGAAGTGTGGCGACGACACTAGAGCGTCTGTCTGCTAGATGATCGCTTCCACAGAAGCTCACTCCCCTGCTGGATCTGCTCACCCCTCAAATATCTAAAGTGAAGTCGGGCAGCTTCTGGTTTAGTCATAAGGGAGCAAGACCAAACAAATACTGCTTCTATGGAAGTCACGCTGTCCTCGTCTCACGTCACCTTTGCTCCCTGAATCTGTTGTTTCACCCTCGTCTCCTCTCTTCTCAGCGCCCGACCCTCGCTTTATGACTGAAACGGAGAACTCGGTGAATTAAGTTTTCACATGTATGTACACGAGTCGCAAAAGAGGCCCATTCCAACTCCACAAAAGGACATTTCTTCCAGTGATGTGTCACTAACCACAACGTCAACTTCCAGAAGAAGCAAAATGGGGAATTCTTCATTTCCTGTGCAACGCCGTGTCTGAAGTTTAGTATTTACAGACTGAGTGCTGCGAGAATGTGGGATCAAAGCACACTTCTGAGCTTTTCATTACTGCAAACACACACCCTCAGTGAAAGGTCTGGATATTCTGCGCCTCAGCTGATGAAGGCTTTTGTGCAAGCAGCCAAGCAGGGCCTGGATGCTGAGAGCCCCCTGGTCGAATAAAACACAACAGCAGCAAATGATTCTCTCAATGGCTCCCAGAAGACCAGAGAACTGGGAGGGAGTCAGGGAAGAAATGGAGAGAGGGGAGTGAGGGGAAAAGGAGGAAGGGGTGATACATTTTCATGAAGCAACAGTTTGGGGGAGAAGAGTTGGAGATGAACTAGAAAGACTAACATCTCTGAGAGCACAGCGCCGAACTGCAGAGGTCATCATTCTGCACAGATATCTCACTTTTGCGCGGAATGAGAGTTGCGCACGGGTGAGGTTTCCTATGAGGTGATGATGTGATGTGGCTGAGCGCGGACTGGGTCCGACTGAGGCAGCAGGAGCTCTGGCTCGTTATTAACATCTAATCTGACCAAATCATTTACTTGAGGGACTCAGATTTCATCATTTTAATTCAAAAATGAAAGAAAAAACACTTTTTTTTTATTTTAAAACAGGAGAAATTTAAATGTACTCGTTTGGAATTAAGTCTAAACTTTCTGGTCTTCCCTCATCAGAAACGCGTCACTGTTGTCTCCAAAGTGGAGAAAGGTTTAGTTCATCCTGTAAAAACACACCAGGCCTTTATGCTGAGGGAAAAGTTGTGCGTCGCCGTCGCGGGGAGCCGTGCGGCACCGAGGGAACGGCTGGATTCAAACGCAAACCCGATGACGCGCAAATACATGCACATATCAACAATCCCTGCGCCAGGAAAAACACGCAAAATGCGATCTATGTTTAGAGGAATTTCAACGGCCGTTGGGCTGGAGGACTGAAGAAAGTCTGGGTTGTTACCAGCCGGAAGCCCGCAAACTGTCACCGCGGATGCGCAAGGGAGATCTGAGGGATGCCTTCATGCTCATTTAATATTTCAGTCACAAACAAAACACTAATAGTTAAAGAATCCCACATTAATTAACCAAATGACTGTAAAGCACCCGGATCTCTCTCCACATCTCACTTCGTCCTGCGCCCCTTTTTGCGCTCCAAGTCTCTCAGCTGCGCAGAAACGCGCAGGGAGGACCCACCAGAGAGGAGATGAGACCAGCTGAGTGTTGCTGATCCGAATGCAGAATCTCACACTTTAAACTCACCTCGGTAGTGAGAGGTTCCGCGCGCAGATCCCCGTCTCTCCAAGGAAATGTCCCCTAAACATTCAGCCCAGCAGGAAGCACAGTCACTTCTCCCACCAGATGTCCAACACATCCACTCAGTATAACCCACTCAGAGTTATTTATTCTGTTTCTGTGCGCTGGAGGAAGGAGAAGATGGAAACCAAACGCGTATCCGCTGCTGGAATGCAGAGGCGCAAAAGAGAAAAAGAAAATCAACCCAAAGAAGAAAAAAACAAAAAGAAAAAACAACTGAAGTCAGAAGAGACGCAAAAAAATATCACACGACAGTCCCGAGATCGAAGTGATGGAGAGAAGCGAAGGTGGTGGTGAGGAGGTGGGTGTGGGGCGGCTGAGGGAGAAGAAAGGGGGGAATCACCCTAGCATCCCTCCCGTCTTCGGTGATCAAATCCCGTACCGTCAGCGCCGTTTATCCGTCCTCCCTCCAAGAGGCTCAGAAGCGTTGTGAGGGAAAGTGAGGGCAGCAGCAGCAGCAGCGAGGGGAGGGAGGGAGGAGGGGGGGAGGACGAGAGTGTCGCTGCCGATGGAGGGCGTTGGAAACTAGACTAACCCTCTCTCACCCCTCACTAACCCTCTCTCTCTACATATTTGAACTTGCTGCGGTTTTTATTCGGTATTTCATTTCTAACATTTATTTGGCTCCATAGCTGCTTGCAGGGCGGCAATGAAAGGCACAGCAGCCCAGAACTCAGACCTGTCGCCTGGTTAGGGTTTAATTAGGATTATATTGATTTATAAAAGGATCCTGAAGATCCTCTTTTTTATCCCATCCTTAACAGCCGAGAGTCCGGGACTGCCCCGCAGGACGGGGAGTTCAAGCAACAGTTGCTCTTTCCTGATTGGTCCAAAAGCCGCTTCCAGCCACAGCAGGAGCAACAGTAGCGTCTCCTGAGCAGCCAATGAGAAGAGGAGAGGGAGGGGGGCTGCCGAAAGGGCGGAATCATGAGCTGCTATTGGCCCAGTCAAAGTCCGTTTTAATTGCTAACGCAGCCAATAGGAAGGAAAGGAGCAGAAACAGGAAAAATCAAATGTAAATGAGACAGGAGGTGATGCATGAGCTTCTACTTCTCAGCAACTAGGTGGGTGGGATGTATTTTATCAAAATGTTTATTTGGATTTTTTATTATGAGAAAATTTTTGTTTTTCAATTTCATTAACTTTTCTTTATTTATTTAGGTGTCATTATAAAGGCCTGCAGCATGTATTATTGTTCTGCCATAAAAGCCACGGATGAGCACCAGAACACATCTGGTTCTGAGAAAAACCCCTTCGGTTTGCACTTTCTTTTAAAATTCAACATGTCTCGTTTTCCTTGCTGTTTAATTGCCTGGCCTTCATTAAAGAGACTCAGATACCAGCTTAATGATGCCCAGACAATGACAGTAAAACTCATAATACATTACAATAATTATCGTTTTCATAACTAATTAATATTTTCTCGCAAGTTTTGCAATACACTGCAAAAACTGAAGAAAAACAAGACTTGAGCTTTTATTCTACTTATGACTTAAAAAGAGAGAAAAAGAACTGTTTTCTGCAAAACCCTGATTTGAAGTAAGTTAAACATTCTATATGATCAGATTTTCTTGTTTGGAGAAAAGAAGTCTGCCATTGGGGTAACCAAAGACGTTTGTCTAGATTTCTTAAAACTAGCAAATAAATCATAATTTAGATTGTTTTGCTGGTTTTAAGAATTCTAGTCAAACAAAAAATTCTTGCCACAGGCAGATTTTTTTAACCTATAACAAGAAAATTCAGATCATATTAAGGAATATTTACCTTATTTCAGGTCACACTATTTGCTATTTATTTTCTTTTTAGAATGAAAATAAGATTAAATTGCTATATATTTTTTACTTTCTTAGAAATCACTTTTGCAGTGTACTAATATTTACTGAAGGGTTTTGTAAATTGAGTGCTTTAAGAGCTCAATATATATATTACCTCTACTTATGACCAATAAGCTGTGATACTATATATAAATATAGAATATCAATCCTGTTTGGTCTTTGTGTGTTTATCAGAAGATGCTAGGATTCTTTATTTATTAAGGGATTGTACACACTTTGTTTTGATTCAGAAAACAGTCAGATTTATAAAAGTAAGAATTTATTTTACCAACAATTAAAACATGACAAGTTAACTAACATTTACTGTGAGTGGATGGAACTAGATGTGATGTATGAACCTATGTGTGAATGCGGTGTTATCAGAACTTCCGTATCTAGGAGAGCTGAGTTCTGGATGTAAAAGAATTTGGTTTGCGTTAAGCTATGAGGTTGATTATTACCAAAAGCACATCAGACGCTATCTGTGTGTCTACTTCACCCGTTCTGGAGACCCTCTTAGTGGATCCGAAGGTCAGAGAGGTCGAATGACCTCTGGCACTGAAGGTCCAGTAGATTGACCACAGCACATACTTCTTCAGTCCAGAGGTGTCTCGGGTCACGACAGATGGATGGAACCGCGCGTCTGGGACTCTGGAGTCTAAACACTATTGGCTTGTTCTGCAGGAACTGTTTGCTTTATCAGCTTCACAGGTGCAGAATGGTTTTGATGACGTTTCAAAAACTTTGATGGTTAAAGAGGGTTTTTCTTCAGATGGCCGGTCTGAAGCTTTCTCTAGAACTCCTGAATCACCAGAGTGATCTGGTTTTAATGTTCTCATGTCATGATTTGTGTAGCCAACCAGAGGTTGACAAGTTGACATGGTTTGGGGACGAGTTTAACCCAAGACATGCAGAATTCACCACTCACGAGTCAATTAGAAAAATGAAAGAATTTTATTTTTTAAAAATCGGGAAGTGAGGGTGCACTGGATAAGGTCCAGTGGGGATTGCAACGGAACCACAGCGTCTGAGGGGGGGAGAACAGAGGAACAGGAGAGTCCAGGGAGGTAAGTCTAAACTAGGGAGGTGCAGAGTAAAGACTTACGGGAAGCTGGGGGCTGGGGAATAGGGGAGGGTAGGTGGAGGGCCGGGGTGAATCCAAGAGGGGGTGTCCAGGAGAGCGGGCCGGCAGGGAGGAGAGAACGGTGAATGCTGCGTCCAGGAGATTTATGGGGCACAGGTGAGTAATCCAGCAGGATCGTGGAAATGTCCAAGTAGTCAATCAGAGGAGCCACAGGAAAACCAAAGAAGCTCCAGAAGCTTCAGAAGTCCAGGGAGATCCTGAGGAGTCAAGGTAAGGTCCACAAACAATCCAAAAATCCAAGTTGTAGTTAATCATCCGGCGTTGAGATGTGTTTGTTCTCCTCCTCCTCTTATAGCTGGACCCACTGATTGTTGATGAGCTTCAGCTGGAGCCTCCCTCTCCTGAAACACAGCAGCTCAAAGATGGAACAAAAATGAGAGGAGCACTCACCCCGGCACATGACACAAGTTTGAGGAATATTACCCAGAATCTCAAGCCCTTTTCAGGTAGAAATTCTGGAATATGTGTGGACAATTCAATCCGGTTTTTAACCGGAACTGTGTTTTCAGATACACCACTTTCATACTGGAACTTGTCCTTTCAGCTGCCTTCACACAGCAGGGAAAAGTTCCAGATGTCTGACGGGGGGTGGGGGGGGAATCGGACTTATGTTAAGCATGATTTTGCGCACACGAAGAAGCAGAAGAGACCTGGATGATGAAGCTCAATGGTTAAAGGAATCACTGAAGCGGTGTGAAGCGCTCCGTCGCGCGTCTAGCCGGTACCGTAGGAGGCGAGCTGCCGTGGTTCGCCGCACGCAACAGCAGCGAGCTATCTAGGTGCGCACAGCGTCCCCCGGTCCCCTCCTCCTCCCCCTCCTCCCTGTCTGGAACTCGACCTCACCAGTCTGAAGCAGCCACCCTGTCCGTAACAAGTCCGGACCTGTTACTAGGGGCTTTGTCCGGTTTAACCACGGAAAATGTTATTCAGATGTTTGTATTCAGACACAAAGGTCTTACGGACAGAGTCCGGAACATTTCCGTTTTTCATGGCCTGTCTGAAGGGGGCTTTAGAAACACACCTTCCTTGATACCGGATGCTCTGATCTGGGTAAAGGACTATCTATAGCCCCCTTCAGACAGACCATGAAAAACGGAAATATTCCGGAATCTGTCCGTAAGACCTTTCTGTCTGAATACAAACATCCGGATACCGTGTTCCGGAATTTATCCGGACGAAGCCCCTAGTAACAGGTCCGGACTTGTTACGGACAGGGTGGCTGCTTCAGACTGGTGAGGTAAAGTTCCGGACAAGGGGGAGGGGGAGGAGGAGGGGACCGGGGGACGCTGTGCGCACCTAGATAGCTCGCTGCTGTAGCATGCGGCGAACCACGGCAGCTCGCCTCCTACTGTACCGCCTAGACGCGGGACGGAGCGCTTCACACCGCTTCAGTGATTCCTTTAACCATTGAGCTTCATCATCCAGGTCTCTTATGCGTCTTCGTGTGCGCAGAATTATGCTTAAGCGCCTCGTGATTTTTATCTTGAGAGGCGCTATAGAAATTATATTTTCTTCTTCTTCTTCTTAACATAAGTCCGATTTCCCCCCACCCCCCGCCACCGTCAGACATCTGGAACTTTTCCCTGCTGTGTGAACGCAGCCGAAAGGACAAGTTCCGGTACAAAAGTGGTGTGTCTGAAAACACAGTTACGGTTAAAAACCGGATTGAATTGTCTGCAAATGTTCCAGAATGTCTGTCTGAAAAGGGCTTATGTGTCATGAGTTTAACTTCAACTTACTTTGTTCTTGTGTGAGTGCAAATGGTGATGACCTTGTCATATTAACATGCTGAAACATATTTCAATCACTGTAATCATAACATAACATTTATTTCAAAATTCAATCAGTGAGCACAGATTAGTGCGTGTTCCTTTTATGGAGGCATGAAGAGTCCTGAAAGATTGGACCTTGAGGGGAAAATGTAATTGTTGACATTTCGTTATCTGTGTTCAGAGCTGCAGGCTCTGAGCTCCAGCTGATGGGATGAAGGCAGGCTGATTTAGAGGGAACACATGCAGTCTCGTGTCTCTTTTTTGACCAGATGTTGAATGGTCAAACTGTACCTAAAAACTGACCATTGCTGGACGTTACAACTAGCATACATTTTATTTTTCTAACTGAAGGGATTCTGATTAGTTTCTATCAATTATTATTTAGTTTAAAAACTTACGTTGGATGGCCCTTAATGTTTTGATTTGAATTGACAAGATTTAACAGCATGTAACCTGTTGACCCAAACTAAAATCAACAATATTCAAACCTCTTCCTCAATCATGTGTTGAGATAACATGACTTCTAACTAAATAAGGTTGAAAATAAGTAAAATCAAACAATATAAACAATTTTAAGGGGAACTAGGCAGCTTTGGCTTGCTTTTAGCACCTCTTGGTGTCCATTAGAACCAAAAGAACCATCTCCTTAATCTAACAGCTGAAATGTCTCCCCAGCCTTCCACAGTAGCCCTTTTCAGAAGACACAC